GAAGCTGAATAATACTGAATGTCAACTATAATTTAATATATACATAGTCATGGGATGTGGAGTATAGCACAGGGAATAGAGTCAGTGGTATTGTAACAGCTATATACGATGTCAGGGGGGTAGTAGATTGGGAGAGGGGGGTTATCACTTTGTGAGGGGTGTAAATATTTAACTATTACATTGTTTTGCACACCTGAAATTAATAAAAAAAATTAACATCAAACAGATAATGAATTAAAATGTAAAATATAAAATTATAAAACTTTTGTAGGAGGACCAAGATGGCCGTGACGTATGCACAGTTACTCCTATGGACAACTCAGGGCTGAATGACCAGCTTCTGACAACAAACAAGAGAAAAAGACGTAGGAGCTGGGGAGCCAGTGAGCCCCGCTTCTCACAGTCCCCTTGTGGATGAAAAAAAGGGTTCTATGGAAAGTGACCTCACAAGGTGATGAGGTCATAAATACTTACCTGGCAGGTCCGTGGGTTGTCACACCCCAGGCCTGTAACTTCTTTAGTGAAAGGTGTTAAGCCAGCCCTGTCCATTGTTGTTGTGTATCTGGGTTAACACACTTTTGAAATGCCAGAAGTAACACCCCTTGAAGGTGTATTAACCCTCAAAAGAGCACGGAATCATGTTAAATGTCCTGTAACCCATCTCCGCCTTGCTTCCCCACCTCCCTGTCACCTTCCTCAAGTTTTCTCTGTAATCTCAAATGCATAAAAAAAACTCAAACTCTCATTTTCCAGAGCATTTGAGCTCTTGCTCCCCAACATGTCAGTTTGGCTCAGATAAACTCTTATAAAAATTCTCCACGGGTTTGGACGTTTCATAGGTCGACATCCCCCCAACCCAGATAGAGCACCAGGAGCTCTGCCCAGGGCTTCGGCCTACCTGCAGGGTCACGGTGGTGCGTTCACAGCCTCGCTGCCTGCAACCTTGGCCTGGGAGCACCGGGGGTAAGCAGGAGCCACAGGGCCTGGGCAGAGGCACCTGGCCACCCTGACAAGAGCGGCGCCTCCCTGCAGGCACTGCACAGGCGCCCTGAGCGCATGCGCGCTCCACGCTTTTCCCACAACCACCTTGCACTTAGAGCCGAGGTAGGGGCCGTTTTCACTAGGACTGCTTTCTCTGTCACAAACCAGAAAGAGGCTGCATAGAGAAGACTGGGGAACCCCAGAGCTTTCGGGGGACATCGGGGATTCTCTGAGGAGGTCAGAGGGGCTGGTGAGGCCATAGTTTACCTCCCATCCACCTCTGTGGGGTGGGATGGGACTCTATCATGGAGCTGTGGCCTGCCTGCAAGGTCATGCAGCATAAGTCCCAGCGATCAGATAAGGGAAGTAAAAAGATTCCAAATGGGAAATAAAGAAGTAAAACTCTCATTTGCAGATGACATGATGCTATATAGAGAGAGCCCTAAAGAGTCCACCAAAAAAACTATTAGAACTAATTAATGACTTCAGTAAAGTTGCAGGCAACACAATCAATATACAGGAATCTGTAGTGTTTCCATACACCAGTAATAAATCATCAGAAGAAGAAATTAAGAAAACAATTCCATTCACAATAGCATCAAAAGCATGAAACACCTGGCAATAAATTTAACCAGAGGTGAAAGACCACTAGTGTGAAAACTATAAGACATTAAAGAAATTAAACAAGATACAAATATATGGAAGGATATACTTCATTCATGGATTGGAAAGATTAATATTGTTAAAATATCTTACTACCTTAACTAATATACCGATTCAATATAATCCTTACTAAAATACCAATGGCATTCTTCTCAGAATTAGAACAACTATCCTAAAATTTATATGGAGCCATAAAACACCCCAAACAGCCAAAAAAAACCCCACCAAACACACACACACACACACACACACACACACACACAAAGAAACAAACAAACAAACCTTGAGAAAGAACAAAGTGGGAGGTATCACACTCCCTAATATCAAACTACTGCAAAACTACAATAATCAAAACAGCATGACACTGACAAAAAACCAGATATACCTATATGGTCAATTAGTCTATAAAAAAGGAGGCAAGGAAATACAATGGGTAAAGACAGTCTAATAAAAGGTATTGGTAAAACTTGACAGACACATGCAAAAAAATGAAAGTGGACCACTTCCTTATACCATATGCAAAAATAAACCCAAAATGAATTAAAGACTAATGTACGACCTGAAACCATAAAACTCCTAGAAGAAAACATAGGCAGTAAACTCTTTGACATCCCTCTTAGCAATATCTTTTTGGATGTCTCCCCAGGCAAGGAAAACAAAAGAAAAAATAAACAAATGGGACTACATCAAACTTAAAAGTTTTTACACAGTGAAGGAAACCATCAACAAAATGAAAAGACAACCTGGAAGAAGATACTTGCAAATGATACATCTGATAAAGGGTTAATATACAAAATATATAAAGAACTCATATACCAACTTAACACCAAAAACCAAATAATCCAATTAAAAAATGGGCAGAGGACCTGAATAGACATTCACATGGCCAATAGACGTATGAAAAGATGCTCAACATCACCAATCATCAGGGAGATGCAAATTAAAACCACAATGAGATACCACCTCACACCTGTCAGAATGGCTTCTATCATCAATAAATCAACAAACAAGCATTGGCGAGGATGTATAGAAAAGGGGAGGGCCGGCCAAGTGGCGCATTGGTTAAGAGCTGGCTTGGGACGCCAGAGGGCCCCGGTTCAGATCCCACATATGAGGGCCAGTGACACTGCCCTCTGCAGCTAAGATGCTGAACAACAGCTCAACTTGGAGCTAGGCTGCTGTGACTCGCCTGCAACAGCGTAGGCTGCAACCCCTGCTGCAGTGGGTTGCCATGGGCTACCGTGTGTAGCCAGCAGCCAGCATGAGCAACCTGCAGCTGCAGTGAGCAGCCGTCCAGAAGCCGGCGACTGATCCGCCTTGTCCGGGAAGAGCGCAATGATGGTGCCAACTTGGGCCAGTGAAGCAACGTCCTCCACAACTAGACTGAAGACCAAAACAACAGCAACTTGTCTGTTCCTCTTCCCCAGTTCCCTAGCGCTGTTCCCATCACCCAATTCCCCAATAAAACAAAACAAAACAAAAACCTCTTTAAAAAAAAAAAAGAAAGAAAAGAAAAGGGGACCTTCCTGCACTGTTGGTGGGATTGCAAATTGGTGCAGCCACTATGGAAAACAGTATGGAGGGTCCTCAAAAATCTAAAAATAGAACTACCTTATGACCCAGCAATTCTACTTCTGGGTATTTATCCAAAGAAAATAAAAACACAAATTCAGAAAGATATCTGCACCCCTATGTTCACTGCAACGTTACTAATAATAGCCAAGATATGGAAGTAACCTAAGTGTCCATCAATAGATGATTGGATAAAGGAGATGGGGTATATATACACAACAGAATATTATTCAGCAATAAAAACGACTGAAATCTTGCCATTTGTGACAACATGGATGGACCTAGAGGGTATTGTGCTAAGTGAAATAAGTCAGACAGAGAAAGACAAATACTGTGTGATCTCACTTATATGCGGAAACTAAAAAAACAAAAACAAATGAATAAACAAAACAAAACAGACACAGACACATAGATATAGAGAACAAGCTGATGGTTGCCAGAGGGGAGTGAGTGGGTAGGAGGATGGGAATTAAATAAATAAATAAATAAATAAATAAATAAATAAATAAATAAGAAATTACTCTGTCAAGAAAAACTATAAAACTTTTAGAAGAAAACAAAGGAGGAAATCTTATGGAACTAGGGCTTCATGGAGAGTTTTTAGACATTACTCCAAAGGTGTATTTCATAAAAGAAAAAAGATCAATAAACTGGACTTCATCAATATTAAAATCTTTTCCTCTGTGAAAGAGCCTGTTAAAAGGATGAAAGGTCAAGCTACAGACTAAGAGAAAAAAATCTGCAAACTACATCTGGGAAAGGAACAAACTCTTAATATACAAATGAAGAACTCTTAATATACAACAGAAAAAAACCCCAAAATAACCAATTTTTCCACAAGTAAAGAATATGAAGAGACATTTCAGTGAAGAGGATACGCTGGTGGCAAATAAACATATAAAAAGAGTTTACTATCACCAACCATTAGGGAAATGCAATCAGAACCTAGCCTATCAGATACATACCTGTTCGAGCAGCTAAAATTAAAAAAAAAAAAAAGTAATGACAATACCAATTGCTGGTGAAGCTACAGAGAAATTGAATTTCTCATAAGTGGCTAGTGAGAATACAAACATGATAGGGCAACTTTGGAAAAGCATTTGACAGTTTCCTACAAAAAACAAAAAACAAAAAAAACTGAAAAGCATTTACCATACAACCTACTATAGCAATCCTACTCCTGGGCATTTTATCCCAGAGAATAAAATCAAATGTCCACACAAAAACCTGTATACAAATGCACATAGCCATTTTAATTGTAATGGATAAAAACTGGAAACCACCAAAATGTTCCTCAGTTGGTGAATGAAGAAACTGGGCTCCACCCGCAGCCTGGAAGAGCAAACGAGTGACACAATTTGAATGGATCCCAAAGTCATTTTGCTGAGAAAAGAAAAGCCAGTCTCAAAAGGTCACATGCTGAATGACTGCATGTATGTGACATTCTCAAATGACAAAAATACGGCCATGGACAACAAATTAACAGCTCACGGGGGTAGGGGTTTTCGGGGAGAGAAGAGGTTGTGGCTATAAAGGGAAGCAGGATGGGGTCTGCGTGATGGTTGCAGGGGTCCTTGCACAAATCTACATGTGACAAGATGGCACGGAACCCTGCTCACGCATTGCACCAACTTCAGCTTCCTGAGTTTGATATCACACTATAGTCCTGAACTGTGTGACCCTATACTGTCTTTGCAACTTCCTGTGACTATATAATGGTTTAAAAATAAAAACTACCTCATCACAGTATATTTTCTATTGGTATAACAAGCATCAATACTCACTCCCAATGTCTGGCCTCAGCTTTTTATCATATTCTCTCAGCAGTTTGTTGAGAATAAGGGTCACATCGGTGTCTTGGGACTTGGGGGCCAGGACCCATTTCTGGTTTGAAGATGTATCTTCATAGTCATCCTCATCCACCTTTCTGGACCTGTAATTATAGCACAAAGTGTGAGCATAAGTTGCAGCAATCAGTCCAGAAAGTATGTTAAACATGGCCCACCCATGGGCCGCCAAAACAGGTAGCAGGTCCCCAGGACCCTCATCGCAACCAGTGGATTCTCTCTCAAATTCAAGAATAAAATGAGACACAGATGGCAAAGGTTCATTAGGGAGAATGATTAACATGGCTTCATGTTTTTACAGAACACCAGGAAATAAGTCTGCGTTCAAGGTAAACTGCAGACACAGTAATAAGTAAATCAATGCTAGATGATTAACCAGTAGGCAGCCTTCCTTGGGTCCACCTTGAAAACCCCTGAAGGTCAAGGCACAACCCTTCCAGATGTTGTTGTCAGATGGTGAGTTTATGGGCTGCGGCCACCCCCCACTGCCAAGACCACCTTTCAGTTGAAGGTGAGCATAATATTTTACAGAATGCACTTGTGGAAATAGTGGAGTCCGACCTGCGTGCTTCTCATGGAGAATGGACTCTTTGGTGAAGGCACACATGGGGACCTTATGAGGCGGTCTGCTTTGCCAGCACTCGTGTGAGGTGACAGGACCAGAGGTGTTGGTTGGTGATCACCTGCTGGCAATTTACAGGCCTCCCACAACACAAACTTGTACAGCAGTCTAATTCAGACATTAACAATTAAAATCTTTCTCATATCTCTTCACCATGTTGACTCCTTAATAAATGGGTCCAAGTGAATACTTGAGCATCTCCAGGCTTGTTCCATGCAGGGCTGAGCATGACAGCGGCCTCTCCTGAGTGATACACACTGACAGCAGCACCTGAATGGAGAGGCCTCAAAATGACAGGTGAGCTTTCCAGTGAGTGAGGCTGTCTCAACAACACAGCCATTCAAACTTGAAAAGTGAGGGTCCCCTTGTGCCCTAAAGCAGCACTTCAGTGGACTGCCACTGACCAGGGCAAGGAAGCTTGTAGGACAGACAAAGTTCATCCTGTGTCATTGGTCAGTGTGCGTGCCTTACGGCTGTTTTTAATGGCTGGATATGAGCTCACTTCTGTTCAGTTTCCCGGACAGGAGCCAAATGTTACCTGGTAGGCAGCTGTGCTCTGGGATATATGTTTTCTTTAAGTTAATTTTGGCAATTTTCTGAATTATCTACAATGAACATGAAATGAATGAAAAGAATAAACTTTTTAAAGTTCATTACCTCTACTTAAAGTCTCCAAAATCATATATATGTATGTATATCTATATATCATATATGATTATACCACTTGTGTAATCATATATGGGCCACATATTATATACATGAGCCTTTTTATGAGTGCTAACGGCCTTGAGGAAGACTAGAGCAATGTCAATCTAGACCTGGTAACTGTACACACATATGTGAGGTTTTGGTAATGCATGTAGGGCATATGTTTTGTAGACTGAGTTCACTTATGTTTTTCCTAGGCAGATCTTAAAGTGTAATTCTATTTCTTGAATACTTATTGACTAGAAAGATAAAATAAGTCATCCATAGAAACCGTAAGTTGCCGTGGACTTTTATACATGGAACATTTACCATCAATAGGAACCAATCAAATACGGGACATGTATTCAATAAGTGATATGCTGCATTTCATTATTTATAACACTGAACTTTTACAAATAACACTATAGATTTTTAAATGCCACTGTAAAATATTTTCTTTAAATTTGTCAGAAATATTAATTTTATGATTTTGAAAAAAAAAAGAGAGTAGGTTGAAACAGGTTGGGTAGGCCATGGGTGGCTGGGAGCCAGCCATTCGTTCTCCACAAGACCTGGCAATTCATTCTACAGCGAAGGTGCTGGGAGGTGCGCAGAGAGGCAGTTGACCTCGGCCAAACCACATCCGACATTCTAACTTTCCGAGGACACATTCCAACTCGGCCCCAGAGCTTTCCTCTCTCCCTGGAGGTGGCTCCTTCATGCCTTCTCCTTCACCCTTCTCCCTCACCCCTTCTCTTTCTCTCCTCCCCCATGCTTAAGGACAGCTCACCAGCACAGGCCAGATAAAGCTGTCCATGCTACTGCCCAGTGGTCGCTTGGACACAGACTGGGCACAGTGACAAGTCTTCCCCAGTTCTCTCTGCACAGCCTTGGCCACTGAAAAGCACTTGGAGCTACTTGAGTAACAAGTATTGAAATGAGCCTAATTCTCCCTCTAGTGGTGATGGAGCCTTTTCCTGAAATTGCATAAGCTTCTTCCTGAGAGGGGGAGACGGAAAGGAAAAGCAGCAGCACTCTCTCTCGCTCCTTCAGGAGGTGAAAGGGACCCTCGGCTCTCAGGCTGGGGGTGGAGGGACAGGCAGTGGACACGGGTACTCCCGGCACCTCAGTGGCCCATGCTGGGCTCCCCGGTCCTGAGCCCACATCAGTTTGCTGCAGGGTATCAGAGACTGAAACAGAAGCCTCGCAGTGCTATTGCCAGAATGCTGGCCCCACAAGGAAATCCTCGCTTTGATGGAAACCAATGTCACCTCAGGGGACCCACTGGATTGTGAATAAAACAAAAACGCTCTGTTTCCCTAAATTCCAAGTGGGTTATATATAATCTTCATGAGCATTCTGTTATTAGGATTGTTGGCTCCTGAATCCCATCACTGCAATTAGCTTTTCCTTAAAAACAAACTGGCGATGTCACTGTCAGCTACTGCTCAACCCATCTGTAAAACCCATTTGAACAACAAAGACACGTTCAGAAGAGAGGTGGAGAGCAATAAAACAAATTTAAAATTTGGAGTTTTTCCAAATGCTATGCAACTTCTTCTGTGAAGGCCAGGGGCCCACCCCAGATACGGAACATATTACAGTCATCACATCTGCCTTGGTGGGATGAACAGTGTAGGGTCATGGGAGCCTGATGTGCATGTGACAATGCCTCGGAACCCGACCATGGCGCCTTCCTGCTAATCACACAATGACAGCAGGCAATCTTCCTTCTAGCACGTTAGGTGTCTGTGGAGCTAACAGTTGATTACCTAACCCTGAACTGCAGGTCGCGTCATCCAGACGGTGGCAACAGAAAGGTCATGTAGACATGACTTCAGACCTTGTAATACACATCTTCGGACCTCCTTGATTTACCGGCTTCCGGCTGCTGGTCTGTCTGCCTCTAAACAGAGATAATCCAGGCAGAACCCACCTCAGACAGCGCAGCCCCATTTCCTGCCCAGCTCTGTCCTTACGCAGGAACAAACTTCAGTGGAAAGGCCAAGGAGAGCCCTGCCTGGTAGAGAGAGCTGCGTGTGGGTCACCAGTGGCATCTGCTGTCCCTCGTTCATCGCCTGCCTGTCACAGTCTCAACTTGTACAGAAGGCAAGTGCTAGGAAAGGGATGGCCAGGCTTTCTTCCTCAATAGCAAACATCCCTGTTGAAGGCAGGGAGTGAGAATTGGGGGCCCTTTCATATCTTGGAGGGTGTGTTCATGTGCCTCCTTGGATCCTTCCAACTTCACAAGTACGAATAAAACATGGGACCTCGGGCATTGCCTGCTGACACCTGCAGGGCTGGGCCCATTGGGACACTCGCAGGCTCCCCGATGGAGGTAATGAACAAGTGTCAAGGAAGTCCTGAGATTTAAGGGTGGGGGAAGAGGCAGAGATCTGCTCTGACTTCCAAAGCACACGGCAGTCTGCAATCTTTGGGCCAGTGGCAGAATTTGAGAGACAAAGCCCAGAATCTCCAGTCATATTTACAGCTGCAGGGTTTAACCCTTAGGGTCCCACTGCCCTTCTATCCTCACCAGCCATCCTCATCCCTTCTAGGAGCACCTCTAAGCTCCCTTTAGCTGGCTAGTGTTCTGGGTAGAAGGTTAAAGGCACTTATAGTAACATGATTTCTTAGATTACCAGGCAGAAGCCTTTGCTGGCTTTATGGGGGCAGGTGTGTGTGCATTCAGTGTGGAAAAGTGGCTCATCTACAAGGTGTGTGTGTGTGTGTGTGTGTGTGTGTGTGTGTGTGCATGTGCGCGTGTGTGCGCGCGTGCGCGCGCGCACACAGGACTTGGGAGGGAAGTCCTCTCCAAGGAGCAGGGCTCCCAGCGGCCACCTGGCCCCATCCTCCCCCTGCTTCCAGCCTGGATGCTGTCCCCAGTCCGATCCCAACTGGACAACTCGAAACCATGACTCCTGGATTCTGGGAGATTTCATAGCAATGGGAAATGATACAGAATGCCCTCCCTGTGTGTGTGTTAGACCCTGCAACACTTGGGGGGGGGTGGTGGTAAGGGGTAGATAAGGACACAGACACCTCTGGTCCCCTATGACTGTGGCTTTCAAAACCCCTTTAAGCTTCCAGACCCTAAAAGCTGCAGGAGAAAAGCCCATCAATCTCAGTCCGCACCTTCCCGCGGCAGGGAGGGCTGCAGCCGCCCAGCCTGGGGAGGTAGAGGGCAGAGTCCAGGGTGGGACAGGACAGGGTGCAGCTAGCTTCCCCTGCCCCCCCCCCGCCTGCCCTTCCTTCCCCCGGCCGCAGCCCAGCCGACGGCGGCGCGCCAGAGACCCCGGGCCAGGGAAGCGCCCCCACCCCCAACCCCCCGCCCTCCCGCCTGCGCCGAGCCCCGGGGATGCAGAGCCCGGGTGCCACTTACCGCGCGTGCAAGCCCGAGAGCAGGCCGAGGAGCAGCAGCAGCTCGGGGGCCATGTCGCCGCGGGGCTCCGGGTGCGGGTCCGAGGCCTCCGCCGGCTCAGATGCCCCTGATTGCGGCGCGACCCGGCAGCCAGAGGGACAGGCGTGGGCTCGGGTGGCGTCGGGTCTGCGCGCTCCCCGCCGGGTCCGCGCCGCCGGGTGGCTGGCGGGAGCGAGTGGCGCGAGCGGTCCCCGGCCCCGCAGCCCGCCCGCCGCCCGCCGCCGGTGCCCGGGCGGGGCTCTGCGCGCCGTGTCGGCCCCGCGCGCTCCGAGGAGGGGGCAGCAAGGCGGCCGTTGGGTGGCAGCGCCTCCGAGGCGGTCCCCGCGGGAGGAGTTTCCCCAATTACACGCGTGACAACGCGCGAGGGAAGAAAGCGAGTCGGAGTGGACTGCGGGTCGGAGGCCGGGAAGGGGCGGGCTCCGCGGGGGCGGAGAGGCTTGGGGATCCCGCAGGGAGTCTGAGGTAGAGCCCCCAGTTCCTCCTGTCATGTCTCCAGAGCATCCTGACCTCCTGTTGCCCGCGCCACGTGTAGGTAGGCCACAGCTTAGGAATGACACGCTCTGCTGACAGCAGCCCTTCCAGGCACACTTCGTGCTAAGTCGCCTGCCTCCTTCCTATGGAGGAAAAGTATTTGGGGAAAAGCACCCCCGATGTGTACCCTTCTCACGGAAAAGATAGCCTAACACATCCCAATAAACAATTGCGGTGAGAAGGGATGTGAAAGGTAGAAGAGAAAGACCTGAAGTGAAACGCGAAAGGCGCTCTGTTAGAGCCATGGAGCGCACTTTAGTCAATGTATCTATTTTCATATTCCAAAGAGGAAAATTTTCATTTAAGTTTCCATTTGTAATAATCACTAAGAAAGCTTGTCTTTCACCGTATCAGTATTCCAATATTAGCATAGCTTGGAATGACTCCACTAAGACGTTTGCTTTTCTATTGCAAAGCAACAACAAAAAAGTTCTTAGAAAGTGCTTTATATTTTGAACTACGATCCATAGAGTTAGGAAACGGTGTGATTAACTGTTTCTTTAATATGGTTAAATAGCTTTGTTCATAAAATATATAGAAGAGTAAGATGAATGTTGTTTGGTGTTTTCCCCCTTATTTTTGGGTTCATCAACATGAAGGTGGTCATGAAGTCAAGTTGATGATGACGATATTCCAACAATGACGCCGTTGCCTCCGTGGGGCTGCCATCTCCTTGTCCCTGTGTGGCCTTGGGCTCACTCCTGCTCACTCCTTCTCGGGGCTCCTCCTGGTGTCCTCCTCTGCCTTCCACCTCTCTCTGGCTCAGGTTTTGTCTTCTGAGAAGACTGCAACGTTCCTGCATTCTGCCACCTCTGACACCTTCCCCACTTCTTCCAGCTTCCAGGTACTATGAGCCTTTATCACACTCTGCCCTAATCTCTCATTTTCTCTATCACACAACTGAGCACTTCAAAAATCACAGATACTGATTTGTTAATTGCTTGTAGAAACATATCAAGTCTCCACATAGGTTTTAAGTGTGCTGTGAAGAAAAAAAGCAAGTAAAAAGAACCAATTCATTTGTGCCTCAATTTTTAACAAGAGTAATAGGAACATAGATAAACATAGCTATCAGATAATTGATATCATAATAGTGACCCAGGGCTAATGTGAAGGTTTTACTCATTTTAACTCTCATAGCATTATTCCCATTTTAAAGATGGAGAAAAGGCACAGAAAAGTTAAGTGACTTCCCTGAGATCACACAGCTAGGACGTTGAGCTCTGCAGGTGAAAGCCAGGCAGTCGATTCTAACGTCTCAGCCTTAATCACTATGCCACACCACCTCTTGGGTGAGCAGGGGCTCAGTAAGCATTTGCTGCTTGCTTCTTGGAGCAAAGTTTTACATTCCTTGCTGTATGTGTTATTATTTGAGCATGAGTATAAATGCTTGCAAGTTGTTTATGATAAAAACAGACCGATACTTGAATGGTTTTGTACATTACCAGTATAATGAGAAGTGTCCTGTGAAGTTTTTTACAATTCGACTAGTGGAAAAGAAAACATGGTGTTCTTTTTACATCCCTGTGCAGTTTATGCTTTTCCTTCCTGCACATGTGCATTGTGTTGTTATTATAAATGAATACAGCATGACGCCTTCTGGCATTTTCAATGCTTTGCTCCATTTATTGGACTTAGTGGGTCAGCTCAGTAGACTTGAACATTTTAGTTTGAAAAGCTCCCCCCTTCCCATGTTGCTGTTTGGAACAAGACTTTTTTTTTCTTTTCGTTGTTTTCTTTTCTTTTAAGCTAAATGAGTTTAGAGGAAGGGAGAATCCAAAGCAAGCTTTCTGGGCATAAGTGTAAAAGCAAAACACAAGGTCAAGAATCTAGAATCTTCAAAGGGCTGGATTTTAGGCTTTGATTTTCTTCCTTTGCTCAGCTTGACCTATGGGGGAAAAAGAGGGGGAAGAGAAGGGGAGGGAGGGGGAGGACAGGAGGGGAGAGAGAGAGAGGGAGGGAGGGAGGGAGGGAAGGAGAGAGACAGAGCGCGAGTGATGTTTTATGGAGCATGCGCAGTGCTCACTCTCCGCTCCATCTTCACCAGAGAGGCGGACAGTTCCACTTGGGCGCGCGGGATCTGCATCCATTACCCAAGTTTGTAGGGGAAAAAAGGGAAATAAGGAGTAACATAAGAGGGAAGGGTTGGGGACTGATCCTGGCAACCTAAGCATTTCACTCATGTGGTTCCCGCCCACCCTCCAGCCATGCCAGCTGTCAGTCACGGTCCGGGAGTCCCGGCCACCGCGCAGCCCACGGGCTGAGCTGCATCTGGGCGGGAAGAACCCGAGCAGGCACGAGACCCGCGGCTTCTTGGAGAAACACCTGAGGTTTCTTTCCTGTCCCCACTTCACCTCCTGCAGGCGCTGCATCTTTTAACCTGTCCTTTATTGTTTCAGAGTTTTGTTTAAGTAACACCTGTCCCACTCTCAAAATTGCTCTTTTCTATTAATGATGTGTTATAGTTAAAAAATAAAAACTTTCCCTCAACTTTGAAAAAATTGTCAAGGGATAACACACACACACAACAAAATGCACTCAGCGTGCAGGCGTGGCTCAGTGAATTTTTTACACGTGTATCCATCGGGTGTATAAGGGTAGCCCGTGGGCACCATTCAGATGAAGATACAGGACTTTTCCCGGTGGCCCCTCCCAGTCAGTCCCGACCCTAGGGAACCGCCACTCTGTCTTTTGTCACAGTACACTGATTTTACCTGCTCTTGAATCTCACAGAGGAAAACGTAGTATTTTTTATTTTACATCTGCTTCATTTCACCAAGTATAATGTCTGCTAAATGGAGCCATTATTTGTGATATTTTTATTGCTGCACGTGGCACTTTATTGTTATTCAGTAAACCACACATTCCTTAGCGGACATGAAGATATTTCTACATGTTTTTTGGTGCTCAATTCTCTTGCTTAACTGACGGAAAATGGAATTTTTAGATCACAGGGAAAGCATATGTTTAGTGATGATAAATGTTAGTAAAGAGATTTCCAAAGTGCTTGTATCAACTTATCACCCATTGGCTATGTGACTTCCACACGTGGTGTCAATGAAATGAGGCCTTGCCATTCTTTTCCATTATAAACGTCCTGATGTATCATTCTGGTTTTGTTCACTGAGCTCCTTTCAAATTCTAACCAGCCACTGGAGTGTCTTCTTCTATGAAGTGTCATTCAAGACTTCTGCCCATTTTTAGACTAGCCTGTAGTTTTAGTAGAAGTTCACTTTTGTTTGTAGAAGTTCATTCATTACCTGTTTTTGATATGAGTGGTTTAGTGTGTGTGTGTGTGTGTGTGTGTGTATTGAATATCTTCCCTCAGTCAGTGGTCTGCCTGTATATTCTCCGAATAGTGTTTTATGAACATTATTGCTTCATGTCCTATTTAACAAATCATTGATTATCCAGAGGTCATAAAAATAATCCATGTTTTCACCTAAAAACTATAGAAGAAAGCCCTTCTTTTAGGTCTAGGTTTCATTTCTAATTAATTTTAGTATATGATTTTGTTTATGAGTTAATATGTATTTTTATACAGATAACTAATTGACCTAGCATGATTTATTTCAAACACCACCTTTGTACAACTGAATTTGCACAAATCAGGTGACCATATACGAGTGCATCTTTTTCTGGGTCTGTTCTCTGGATTTATTGGTCTATACTTGCACCAATACCACACTTAAAAAAATACTATAGCTTCAAAATCATTGTTAATACCTATTATTTCTAGTACTCTGAATGTATTCTTTTGGCTGTTCTGGACTATTTGCATTTCCATTTAAGTCATCTTGCAAATTTCCCCCAACTTTTTAGATTATTTATTCTGAGACAGTCACAAGCTTAAAAAGAAAGTTATAATACAAAAGTTTCCATATAATGTGATATAATCTATAGTCCGTAGTCTAATTTTGTTAGTTGTTGCAATGACAACTTCAAAAGCATTTCCCCCCATATCGTCCAGATCCCGTTCAGGGTCACACAATCCATTCATTGTATCTCTTTAGTCTGGTTTCAATCCAGAACAGTTCCTTGGCCTTCTGTGGTCTTTTATAATGTTGATAGTTTCAGTGGAGGCAAGTGATTTTCTATACTGCACCTCACTTGGGGACTGTCTGCTGTTTCCTCTGATCAGACTCCAGTCATGTATTTTGGGCAGAAATCCGGCATAAGTAATGTTGCTTTTCTCAGTGCATCACATCCGAGGCACACAGTAATGGTTTGGCCTCCTGTGGGTCATGTGGGTCCCTTGGTTAAGTTACCTGCCAACTTTCTCCACTAAGTTACTTCTGTCTTAGTTGTTAACTGTTCTCCAGGGAAAATTATTTGAGAATATTTAACTATTTTAGTTTTGACTTTCACACTGGTGATTCTTGCCTGCTGATTGTAAAATGGTGATTTTTCTAAATGTGTTGTTTCTTTTACATTTATGAGTTGGTATGATACTTTAAAGAAGCACTTTACCTCTTTATTATTACTTTCAGTAGAGGCTTATGGTTTTTTGCTTTATTCAATGTATTTTAATCCATTACTGTCATTATTTATTGTTATTCTCTAATTATCCAAGATTTAGACAGTAAGAGCCTCTTCAGGCTGACTCCTGACTCATTTTAGCATGTCCCCAACATATTTTTGAATATGGCCTTACTTTCTGGTGCAAGAATTTCCAAGCTCACGCATGACTTCCTTTT